GCTACTCAGGAGGCTGAGGCAGGAGGATCGCTTGAGCCCAGGAGTTTGAGGTTACTGTGAGCTAGGCTGACGCCACGGCACTCTAGCCCAGGCAAGAGAGTGAGACTCTGTCTCGAAAAAAAAAAAAAAACAAGATTATAATTATTCATTAATATTTCATCTTACCCCTTAAGTAGATGTTACCTTGTACTTGGATCATCTATCTTTAAAGATGTAGAGTAATGCCTCAGAAAAGTTAAAACTGACATCTAATATCAGAATTTGTTAATCACTTTGGTATTCTGATAGAAAGGATATATACATGTAAATTTAACTCTCACCTTCTCAAGTTGATCCTGAAGACTAGTGGAGGCTTTATAACCAAGTTGTAATAGCATTGCTTCTGCAGCATTTTTTTTGGCTATCTTTTTATTGGGTCCTGTTCCAGTAGCAACTTCACTGCCTACCTTGACCTGGTAAGATTAAAGAAAGAAATTAATGATAGCTGTTTGGGTAAAAAGGAAATCCTTACATCACAAAGCAATATATTTATTCTACTCTCTAGCATCCAAAAATATAAAGTTCAGTCTCAAATAAAAACAGCAAGTAAGATAACATTTATGTAATATTATATATACAATTAAAAATACAGATGAAGAAAAATATGGAAAAATGGTCCTCAAAATGTCACTGGGGATTATCTCAGTATGGTAGAATTTTAGAGAATTTTTCCTTCCTTATATATTTATATGTTTTTTGATTTTTTAAACATTATATTTGTATTATTTACATAAGCAAGAAAATAAAATTAACATTTGAAGAGAGTTCATGTTGGTTATGACTACCTCCAGTATTCTTTATTTCAATTAATCAGCTGAAAGAGCTGAAATTCATATTGGTACCATTTAAAATAATGTTCACATTGCATCCTAAGTTTACAAAGATTTAGATTAAACAGGTCCTGAAGACAACTGACATATAAGAGTCACTACAATATTGTGGCTTAAAGCAAAGTTTCTGAGCCAGACTGGAATATGAAATTCAACTCTACTATTTCCTAGCTGTATGAACTGTGAAAATTATTTAACATCTCTAAGCCTCAAATTCTTTATCAGTAAAGTAGGAGTAATATCAACTAGCTCATTGTGTTGCTTTTAAAGTTAAATAAGATAATGTATGTAAACCACAGTGTTTAATCCATCATAATTGCTCAATTAACAGTAGCATTTTATCATTAAAACTATTCCACAGTTATCTTTTTTGAGCAATTCACACATGTATGTGTGTATTTAAATATACATCAGCCATCTTATATCCACATGTACATTTTCTGAGCTGGGCAATGCTGTTTTTTTTTTTTTTTTTTTTGAGACAGAGTCTCACTCTGTTGCCCTGGCTAGAGTGAGTGCCGTGGCATTAGCCTAGCTCAC